CCCCCATTCCCACATACCTGCTTCAGCCTCTGGTGCCTCGGTGGGAAACCAGCGGAAAGGCTGGGAGGCAGAGGCAAAGCCCAAGCTAGCAGCCTGGGGGTTTCCCAGCCTGGCGTCCGGCCAGCACTTTGGCCCAGGTCTGCCTGGCTATCTGCAACTGCACACCCAGTAGGAGGCCAGGGCTACTAAGGCCCTGGGGAGGTCCGCGGAGGGGAGAAGAGCAAACACTCCCGTGGAGCTGTTATCTCAGTCCTGAGCAATCTCTGGGCCAGAATGTGGGCTGACTGGAGCCTGCCGGGCAGGCCTCCAATCAAAATGCCACCCAGGAAGTGGGCAGGTGCCGGTCATCATCTTCAGACCTTGGCCCCTAGGTCTACTGCCACAATGATGCAAAAGACCCCTGGACCCCAGCGATGAGGAGATGTGCTGAACCACAAAGTATGCTGGTGCCTCCAGGCCAGGGCACTGGGCCACCCAAGAGGGGGTCAGATGCATGGATTTCTGCCAAAGAAAGTGGTGAGGCCTGGTCCACCCAGCCAGGGTCAGTCCAGACCCTTCCACCCAAGCTCACCTTCCCAGGCTGAGAGCAAACCCTTGATCCATGGAGCGGCCAGGCCTGGTGGGCCCTCACATGAGGCACCAGTAAACTTCCTGCAACAGGGCATAAGGGGCACGGAGCTCCCTTGGGTCCCGTGGGCCGGACTGCTAACCTTCCCACTGCAACGTCTTCATCTGCTGAGCACTCGCTCCACAGTGGAATCCTCCCCACGCAGAAGTTGGAGGATGTGCACAGGGACACAGGCTCAGAGGGTCTCAAGAAGGCAGCCGGGGGTTGGGATTGGTGCTGGGCTCAGACTGAGCACACCAAGATTCGGAAGAGGAAGGCAGGTGGTCCCGGAGCTGGGGGCGGTGTGTGGCTCGGTGAGCTGCAGCTCCTGGCATGAAAGGCCTGCTCCAAAGACCTCAGAATGCAGACATGAGCCCACAGACATGGGCCCAGTTTGCCTCAGTGAACCTCCACCTGCCACTCCCCCCAGTCCAGTGAGCACCAAAAGTGGCCTAGCAGGCCCCAGCCCTGCTCTCCCTCTGGCTGCCCTGTCAGACAAGCCCTCTATGAAGCCCTCAAGGGGCTGCCTTTCTGGCAAGACCCCAAGCACTGCCCTGAGGGCTCTGCAGCCCTCGCTCTCCCCCCATCATTTGTCTCCCTTTTTCCAAGATGCCACCCTGAGTCCAGAGGATTAGAGTCCTTCCAAACTACAGTCCTTGCGCAGCAAGGGGCTACCAGGGTACCGAGAGGAAAGCTGCCGAGCTGGGTGGAGGGGCCCCAGGGGCTGAGGTTTTCCAGCTTCCTGCTTCCTTGGCCGGCGGTCTTCAGCCCACGTGCCCTCCCCACCTGTGACAGGCCTGCCCCACAGCCTGGCCTGGACGAAGATCCTGCTAGGTTTTCAACCTTCCTAATGCCGTGACCCTTTGATATAGTTCCTCATGCTGTGGTGACCCCACAACCAGAAAATTATTTTTGTTGCTACTTTATAACTGTCATTTTGCTACTGTTAGGTATCGGGCGAACCCTGTGAAAAAATAGGTCGTTCAATCCCCAAAGGGGTCACGACCCACAGATTGAGAACTGCTGTGCTACGTGGTGAGTTGGGACCTGGGTGCACTAGACTGTAAAGGCCAGCCACCTGGAACAGGAGAGCGGGGGTGCAGTTTTGAGCTGGGGGGTGAGGGTGTGTGTGTGGGATCTGTTCACTGCAACCCTAGCTGTCCCTGGGAGCTGGGGAAGGCCCCGCAAGTCACAGCCCTCACCCTCTACTACCTCATCTGGAAAGGGGATGGGAAGGTTCACGCCTGCCCACCTCCCACCACCCTTCCCCAGCCCCCAGGCTCAGATCACAGGGCTCTGATCGCTGCTCAGTAGCCTCAGCCCCAACTTTCCAAACAGCCAGCCCACAGAGAAGATGGAGGAACAGAGGCTCTCTCAGCCCTGAAGGAGTCCCCACCTCAGGGGCTGCTCCAACTGGAAGGCAAGCTGTTCAAGGGGGTTCGAACCTCAGCAGCAACTGCAGTATCTCCCTGCACCCCTCAGAGGTGGGCGTAAAGGCAAATCCCCCCCCACACACACACTGGAATGGAACATTCCAACTGAAGTCAGCGGCAGTTACAAGGTGGGGGGGCTCAGGCGGGCCATCCCTTGGAGCTTAGAGTCAACTTTTAGCCTCAGTGCCCAAGGCCAAGGGGAAGGGGGTGGGAGTGGGGGGAGGAGATAGCCTGTCTTCACCACCCTGCCAGCCCCCCACCTCACCCCACC